CACACACACACACACACACACACACACACACACACACACACACACACTCACACACCCAAAAGATGGGATTTCTCTGTGTAGCTCTGCCTGTCCTGGAACTCAACCCTGTAGACCAGGCTGGTCTTGAACTGATGGAGACCCACCTACCTGGGTTGCTGGGATTACAGGCATGTGCCACCACCACTGCCAGTCTTTTACTTTAATATGTGTGTTTTGCATGCAGGGTATGCAAGTATATCACACTAAGCTAGAAAGTGGCATTAGATCCCCTGGAACTGTAGTTACAGGTGGTTGTGAGTCTGCATGTGAACAGTGGGACCCAAACCTGGGTCCTTTGCAAATACAGGAAACACTCTTAACTGCTGAGCCACCTCTCTAGCTCCTGTTGTATCTGTTTGGCAACCAGATTAGTTTCTTCTAGATCATTACCAAGAAATAAAACAGGGGGGCTATAGAGATGGCTCAGAGGTTAAGAGCCCTGGCTGTTCTTCCAAATGTCCTGAGTGCAATTCCCAATAACCACATGGTGACTCACAACCATCTATAATTTGATCTGGTGCCTTCTTCTGGCCTACGGACACACATGCAGACAGAATACTGTATAAGTAATAAATAAATCTTTTTTTAAAAGAGATAAAACAGAAATACTCAGAAATCCAAGAATGTTTTTTAAAAGCAAAAACTCAACAATAAAGCCACCCTCTAACTTCCATATGCTATCTAGTGTCCTTCAACTACATTTCTACTTTTACTGTCTTGATGTACACAAGCAGCTCCACAATCTGCCATGAGTGAGTGAGCTGCACTTACAAAAATGTCAATATGTCAGAACCAAAGGTGTTCTCTTCCACTCATTTCCTTCTCTAGACCAGCACTACATCAGTCTCTGGGTCCTATTAGAAGAAAAATCCTCCCCAAATCCAAGGAATGGATTATCTCCTCCTTAGATCTTACATATTGCTGGAACTCATACCTCAAGAGAGTTTCCCATGTCCAACCTGTCCACAGAAAGGCTTTCTCTCTGGCAAGCCCTTACACCACTATTTTTTGAGTTGGGAAAGGCTGAACACCCTACAGTCTGCAGTCTTCTATTATGGGAGCTCCCTCACAGTAATCTTGACTGTCCCCAGCACTCTCACATACTTCCTGCCACAGGGGAACCATTCTCTCTAATAGCCTCTATTTTTTTCCTATCTTGATTTATTTTTTGTGTCTAGAACACATCTTCAAGGAATTCCCTAAGAATTTTCTGGGATAGTAATTTTTTTGAATTCTTTGTTCAAATAATAGTTCATCTGAAGAAAGAGTTCTATGTTTATTGCAAATGCAATTTTACTTTTCCCTTTCCAACTCAGATGTACCTGCACAGGCTACAACTCCCAGCTAGGTGCTGACTAGGGAATGAAGAGGCAGAAACAATCTTGTCCCAGTCCTTGATATTAAGGGGAGTGCTGTTTCATCACTATGTAGAAGGTAGCACCATAGTTTCATTCACATCATGAGAAAGACACTTTCTTCCATATCTATCTTTAGCTTTTGTTTTTGACAAGTAAACAAACATGTACAAAACAATTACAGACTGCAAGAAGTACTGTAAAGAAATTAGGTCGGGTTCTGTAATGCAAATGATAATATCTCCAGAGTAGAGCATTTAACACAGGATTATCAAGGAATGTCTGAGGGATGAGGAGAGCTGTGGACAACAGGAAACACAATACCAAGTAAAGGCTGGGGCTAAGACAAACAAACCACCACCATAAAAATCAAAGCTGGAGTAGTCTAAAAACTGCTGTAACTCTTTTTTACCAATTAAAATATAAATACGGTTTGAGGATGTAAATAAATTAGAATACTTCCTAGCATTCTCAAAAAACAAACAAAAGGAAGAGGGTTATAAGTCACTGGTAGAGTGCTTGCCTAGCCGTTTTAAAGCCCTCTGTTCAATTCCCAGTACCGTGAAAGAATAACTAAAGGTAAATATAGAATTTCCATACGATCAAGTATGTACAGAAAAACTGAACAGTGGGACTCAGATCCTCATATACAGCAGCATTATTCACAATATCTAAAAGATGGAAACAATGTGAATGCTACTAATCCACCATTTAAAATTTTTTGTGTGTGTATGTGTGTGTATGTATGCCTGAGTGTGTGTCCATGCACCACATGCATGCAGTACCCACAGAGGAGGAAGAGGGTATCAGATTTTCTGAAATGTGTCACAAATGGTTGTAGCTTCCATGTGGGTGCTGGGAAATGAGGGCCCTCTAAAAGAGCGGCAAGCACTCTTAACCACCAAGCCATCTCTCCAGCTCTTGTTAAAAAGCTTTAAAAGGACCTGTGAGATAGCTCATGGGTACAGGCACCTGCTGCCAGGTCTAAGGAGCTCAATCCCTGGAACCTACATGGCAGGAGAGAAGCCATTCCTGAAAGCTGTCCTCTGCCTTCTGCAGGTACGCCATGACACATACACATAAATGTCTTGTCTTATTCTTAAAGTGTATTTGTGGTGCTGGGAGTAAAACCTAGACCCTCACTCATGTTAGGTAAGCACTCAACACTAAGCTACAACCCCAACCCCCAAGAGAAATCCAAACACATCCGAAACAGCTGGGCCTAGAACATGCTCAGTGACATTAGCAGGTACAAAATGACAAAAAAATGCACGGTTTCATTTGTATGAAATGTCTACACTATTTGTGGAGAATGAAGGTAGACTTGAGATTACCAGGGGTCAGCTACAGACAGACAGGGAGGATTTACTTATATATTCAGAGTTTTTGTTTCACAATGAACAGTGCCTACAGCTATACAAACCTGTGAATGTACCCAATGCCATTAAATTAGACATTAAAATAGTAAACTGTAGAAGAATGTTAGTTCCAAACATGGCTGTTATGGCAAAAGATCACATCCAAAGATCTTCTAGGTCTGTGCCATCCAGCTGGAATACAAACATACTTTTAATCCAGGAGACAAAGGCAAGGAGATCTGAATTCAAGGCCAACCTGGTATAGAGCAAGTATTAGGTAAAGAAAAGTATAGGTCTAGGTGTACATGCCTTTAATCTTGAACAATGAAGGTAAAGTTGGTTTGTAGAAGGAAGCACCCACCATGTTTGAAAGTCATACCTAATTGAGTGGCACAAATAATGATGAATCAGAGAAAGATTTGACAGAATAGGATATACTCAACTCGCAGAGAGAAAAAAGCTACCTTAAGGGGTAATGCAGAGAGAGTGGAGACAGTTTTTTACCAGGACAATAATAGACTGGTTGGAGAGAAAGAACACAGGTGAAGACAAATGAACCAGAGAATGAGAATGAGCCAGAAGACTAGAGCAGATTGCTAGAGTTAGTCTGAGGCCAAGCGGAGCAATTCAGGGGCCGAGAAAGGCGGCAGATTGTGTAAGTCAGCTGGAAGAAGCATTTGAGCCACAACAGCTGAGTTGAAGCAGCCAGCCCAGAGCTCAGCAACAAGGAAGGGTAAACTTATTAAGCAGTAAGTCTCAGAGGCTGAAAAAAAAATTCTAGCCCTATGTTAGATTGTATGGAGACTAGAAGCTTCCAGGCCTAGACTCAGGTTAGCAGATAGAGGCAGTAAACCTCCCAGATAATTACTGAAGCAGGCAAATAAAAGTTCCTTTTACAGCAAACTTTATATATTTTCCTATAATAATTTTTCAGAATTGAAGAGCCAAAAGTCAACTCTTACTTGGACTGCTTACACTAAACTGAAATTCTTCTATCGAAAAAATGTTAACATGACTAAAATCCTAAGTAAATTAAAAAAAAAAAATTTAAAAGACATATTCATTTTTATTTTATATGTTTGGGAATTTTGGTTCTGTGTAATTAAGTGCACCCCACACATGCAGCACCCAGAAGAATGGTATCAGGCCCTCTAGAACTGAAGTTACAGGCAGTTGTGACAAGCTGGGCGGGTGCTGGGATCCAAACTCAGGTCTCTGCAACAACAACACACTCTCTTAGCCACTGAGCCCTCTTTAGCCCGGTTCTAAATAATTTTTTAAGGGCTGGAGAGATGGTTCAGCAATTAATAGCGCTTCCTAAGTAATCAGGAGGATCAGAGCTCAGAGCTGAATATCCACATGACAGGCCTGGTTTCCCACAAATACCTATCAGCTCAGAGGAATTCAGTACCTCCTTCTGGTATGCATAAATATTTACACACAAACAAATATTTAAGTAAAAAAAAAAATCATAGGTAGGTGTAGTGCCACAAACCTTTAATCTCAGCACTCAGGAGGCAGAGGCAGAGGCAAAGGCAGGTAGACCTCTGTAGGTTGTAAATTCAAGGCCAACCTAGTCTACAAAGTTAAGTTCCAGGCCAGCTAGGGCTACCTCGTAAGACCCTATTCTCAAACAAATAAACAAAAACCCTTAGAAAGGGCAGTCATAAAAATGTATAGGTGCAGCCTTTAATCCCAGCACTCTGGGAGGCAGAGGCAGGAAGATCGCTATGAGTTCAAGACCTGGCTACAAAGAGTCCAGAACAGGCAAGGCTACACAGAGAAACTTTACCTGGAGACACAAGCAAACAGCATATGGAGCTGGAGATGGCTTCTCAGTAAAAAGCACTTGCTGCTCTTCCAAAAGGCCAGGGTTTGGCTTCCAGTACCCACAAAGGCAGAGTACAACCATCTGTAACACCAGATCCAGGGGATGATATGCCCCCTTCTGGCCTCTGCATGCATGTGGTATACGCACAGATGTACAGGGCTGAAGAGATGGATTGGTGGTTAAGAACACTGGCTGCTCTTTCAGAAGACTAAAGTTCAACTCTTAGCACCCATTTAACATCTTACAACCATCTATAACATCAGTTCCAAGGGATACAACACCTTCTTCTAGCCCCTGCAGGCACTAGGCACATACATATTACACAGACACACATGCAGGCAAAACATGAATACACAAAAAATAACTAATTTTTAAAGTGGCTGGATAGTGTAACAGAAGTTTTGGTTTCTTTAAAAATTCAGTTATGTTATATAAACATGTTTTTGGTTTTAATCCCAAGTTTGGGATTTTAGTTTGTCCTTCAGTTTGGCCACAGCTGATAATTGCCTCGTGCAGGGATGTGGTCTTCGGTGCTGGAGTATTTTGAGAGGTATAAATACCAGAGCCCAGAAAGAGAAGGTGGGGCAGCTTGGAGGAGACAAGATGGAGGACTGTTTGCTGTTTCGCTAGTTACCTGGACTGCTGGATATCCTAATGACCCTACCCAGCCAGAAGAAGAAAAGAGGACTATGTCCCTTTTCCCTTCTAACCTTCTTTCTCTCTTACCTAGGTTGGAAGGTACTGGGGTATAGAAGAGAGGTGGAAGCTTTAAGGAACCCCCAAATAGTTTAAAAAACTAGCTCCTACAGGTGGCATCCAAGCTGCTTGGTAAGGAACCCTATTAAAACAGATAAAAAAGGTGCCTACAGGTGGCACTCAGACATGGCTAGGCAAATGGTAAACTTGGTTTCTAAAGCCGTATGGAAGAAGGAATGGATGTACTGTTTCAAAATGTCAGCAAAAAGTTTACAGTGGCTGCTGCCGTGGGGTTCTCTCCTGCTCTCCTCCCAGAGTGGATCCTCTTATTTCTTCATCTTCTTCCTGCATTTTGCTTTAATAAAGATTGGGAGGATAGCTGAAAAATGAGATGGTTCACTCAATTCTCTTATTTTAAAAAAAACTGCAGAGTTGGCTATGCACCTAGAGAGTTTGCAAGTAAAGGCTGAAGTGCCTGGAAAGCAAAAAGTGGCAGTGGAAGGAGAACAAAAGGGTTCACGCCTGGTGTCTGAGAGTAGGACTGTCCCACAGGTTAAAGAGGGAAGCAAACTAGGCTCTAATGCAATTGCTGCCCTGCTCTGCACTTTAAGTGTCAAGTTCTCACAGCCGCTGAGCAGACTTGGTAGCTGGAAGGAGCCGAAGGCCATTCAGAGTGAAAGGGTTAATCTCCTTTGAAAAAAGATTATTTATACAATGTTCTGCCTACATGTATGCCTGCATGCCAGAGAATGGCACCAGATCATATTATAGATGGTTATGAGCCACTATGTGGTTGCTGGGAATTGAACTCAGGACCTTTGGAAGAGCAGACAGTGCTCTTAACCTCTGAACCATCTCTCCAGCCCGGAAAGGGTTAATCTTGAGCAGACTGAGTTGCCATTGAAGTAGCCTCAGGTTAAGAGATTACCACTATTAGCTTTCCCAGTAGCCACTAAAAGCCTTAGATATCAAAATGCTCAGTACTTCAATTGGGGTAAATTTGGTCATTTGAAAAGATTATGACCAAGCCACTAAAAGCCTCAGAGTTCAAAATGGCTGGTGTGTTAACTGAGAAATACAGTACTTTTTACCAGAGACGCCAAAGAGCCATTTCTGGCAACAATGGGTTCTCAGCAAGAATGCCTAAGCATCCCAGGTTTGTAGATGCTATGGTAAAAGATGTCATTGGATGCCAGTCCAAGAGAGACACATGAGGTAACCTCTTGCCATTAAGGAAGCAGCTTTGACATCCTAGCTTGAGGCTCAGTAGCAAAAAGTATGAGCCAATACGGACAAGAGCAGCCAAGAGTTATCAGGTTATAAAAGAAACCACTGATCCAAAAAGTATTTAATTTATTGATAATCTCCTTTTAAAAAAGCAACAACTCTCATTCATATTAGAGAAAAAGCCGTTTTCTTAGACTGAAGGGGGGAGATGTAGTGGAAGTTTTGATGTTTTTAAAAACTCAGTTATGTTATGTAAACATGTTTTTGTTTTAATTCCAGGTGTGAGGTATAGGGCTGATTCAGACTGTCCATAGATGTAAACTACTTGCCTCGTGCAGGTGCTAAAAAGGACTCTTTGCCAACTACAGACAGTTTAATTCTGAGGACTCTCAGATAAATGCCAGAGCCCAGAGAGTGTTTGGGGTGGGGGGAGGGGCTCCGAGGAAGAAGGCTGCTGCTCCTGGTTGCTGCTGATGCATTTTGATGAGAAGAAGTTGGAGCTATCCTGAAATGAAGACTGGACTCGCCTCAAGAAACCCAATGACCCTAACCAGCAGGAAGTAGCTAAAGAGAACTCTGGCCCCTCTCCCACTAATCTTGTCTCCTACCTGGTGTTGGAAGAGATCGGGGTGGAGAAGGGAGTAGAGGCATAATAAAATAGTTTAATTTATTTTTATTTCATGTACATTGGTGTTTTGCCTACCTGTATGTATGTGTGATGGTGTGAGAAACATTGGAACTGGAGTTATAGACAGCTGTAAGCTGCTATGTGGGTGCTGGGAATTGAACCCAGGTCCTCTGGGAGAGAAGCCAGTACTCATAACTGCTGAGCCAACTCTCCCGCCCCCAATAAAATAGTTTTTAAAAAGTACCCCCAACAGAATAGGCCAAGCGTAGTGATGCAAGCCTTTAATCCTAGCACTCATCGGGAGGAAGAGGCAGGTGGATCTCAGTGAGCTCAAGGTCAACGTGATCTACATAGTTCCAGGACAGCCAGAGCTACACAATAGAAACTTTGTCAAAAAAACAAAGGGGGGGGGGGCTGGATAGTAATCAATATGCATACAGAGTGCAAAGATCACATGCTCAAGTGGCCTGATTCCAATACAACAGCCACAAGGCTCCTTCTCACCTATAAAGTTAGCACTCATCTTAAAACTAAGTTTCAAACTTTAAAACTTCAGGACTCCAGAATATTCCAGAAACTCACTTTTCCAGCACACACAGACACCAACCACACTGTCCCCCTGTCAACTGTCTAACAACCTTAACATCTGTAAAGTACCCCTTTATCCTCCTCAGAAACTGAAAACTGTCCCCTTCTCCCCTAGACCTGCGTCACAAAGAAGGGACTCCTAGACAACAGGCTTCTCTACCAATGGGTCTTCCTGCTGTGAATTGTTCTCAGCCTTTCATGATCTAAAATCCTTCCTTATAATTTCAACTTCTAATTTTGCCTAACAAAACAGATGACAAAGAACTGCAACTACATCATAGGGCAAACAAACAAGGACAACTGAGCCGAGAGCCTGACAGTCAAAGGTAGCTAGCCTCACAAAAAGGACCACTAACTGACCTTTGTATTCAGGGGTGAATTCCTTCATTTCGGGAGGGAGAGACTCGTAGAAGCGCTGTTCCCGGGAGATGAGAGGTTTGCACACTGTGTGATCGTCGTACCGCATCATGCTGCTGTGTCCGCCCACCTGATGGATGAAGGGCTCCAGGAGAACTCCTCGGTCTCCAGCCCGACTTGCATTCTTGCCATACTGCCCCACTTCCATGGTTTGACAAACACACATTGCGTTGGGGGCCAGTTGCACACTGAAGGCAGACGATGCAGCACATGGACCACAAAAGGAGAGCTAGGTTGATCCTGGCTAGTGGGAGGCCAATGGTCAGAGTCTGCTTAGCTTATTGTTCTGGCCTAGAAAAAAGAAGACAGGAAAAGGGAATCAAAACAGCTGATGAGTCAGGCTCCCTATTGTGTGCATCCGTCACATTAAGAGGCAGCTGAATTTTGTTCAGTGATTCAGCTTTGGTCTTCTCCACTCATCATTCTGTGTACACAAGCTCCCCTTCCACTCCCTCTAAATACTCCGAGAATCTTACTTCAGAGATATACCACATCACAAGCAAGACAATAATGTAACCTTCAAAGATGAAAGGATCAGAAAAATAACAGTAACGGAGTTGCACCCTGACTCAAGGGGAGAGTTAGTTTGGTTTTGTCTGCATCTTAACCATTAAGTGTATAATCCAGTGGCATCAAGTACATTCACATTGCTGTGTAACCACTGCTAACATCCATCTTCATAACACAGGCTTCCATCAGCCATTCTGAAATTCCATGTCAATTTTATTCTTATTTTTATTTTTCTAAGACAGGGCATGTCACCCAGAATGGCCCTAAACTTGTTATTCTCTTCAGGAAGAGTTTCTACCTTAAACACCAGGTCACATTAATTTCAAAACTTCTCTGCTGAAGATACAAAGAGCCGAACATAAAAAAAAAAAAAAAGAAAGAAAAAAAAAAAGCCATTTGCTGATAGGACTTAAAAAAATTTTTCCCCCTGTGTAGCCCTGACTAGACTAGCACTTGCTCTGTAGACCAGGTTGACCTGGAACTCAGAAATCTGTCTGCCTCTCCCTTCCAAGTGCTAGAATTAAAGGCATGAGCCATCACACCCAGCTGTTTAATTTTTTTTTTTAAATCTTTGGATTTCCGATTCTTCTACTTTAAATCTGTGGTTGCTGATTTATGGCTACGTCAGACACAAGCTTCCCTTCCCACTGCACCATCCACAGAGACAAAGACAAGTTCTTTATATCTGAACACCTTCCCTCTAAAGTCAGGTTTTCTTTCTCTAACAAAGTTGAAATTCTTGCCGCTTCCTTAATACCAAATCCACCTTTAACTCAGGACTGTAGTAGGCAAGACTATCCCTGAAAGATTAAGGCTGAAGGGTAATAAAAGGAAGTGACAGCAAGAGCAGTATGTAGAGGGCTCTGAGGAGTCCTAGAAAATCATAGACCACGCTCTCCTTATATCACAGATTAATAATCTGCCATACAGAGCAAAGAATGTGGTTTGTAATGAAATAGCTGAAACCCTGTCAGTTTCTATGAATGGACTGTGGTCACAGAGTGTCACTGTTCTTGAATTACAAGAGAGTCCATCTGTCCGGTTTGTTTTAAAACATTTCATGTTGACATTTTAAGATAACTGCCTGGTTTGCCTGATGTGGTGGCTTATACCTGTAACCCTCACATTCAGAAGGCTGAGGCTGGAGACCAAGGTCAACCTGGCCCGGCTAAAATTCTACTCGATAGATAGATAGATAGATAGATAGATAGATAGATAGATAGATAGATAGATAGATAGATAGATAGATAGATAGATAGATGGATGGATGGATGGATGAGTGGATAAATAAATAAATAAATAAATAAATAAATAAATAAATAAATAAATAAA